TATATATATATATATGTATATACATATATATATATATACAAATACACATAGCCTAGTATTAAAGTAAGGCAGTAATGTACATCTCATGACTATCAACAAAACCATGACTGTTGCTACTGCACTCACATTTGTGCACCAAACCTTTCAATATGTCATGATGGCATTTGTCCTACCTTATTTGTTTCCACTGTGCTCTCACTCTCCTCAGGCTACCTGCTGATAGGAGTGGTGTGTATACTGGTGGTGCTGGAGACATGCTGTGAGCTCCCACAGATGAGACATCTTAGACAGAGGTTCTACACAGAGCAGGTGCGGGAGCTGGACTCCGAGACAACCAACATCATCGAAACAGAGCAGAACATGGATCAGCAGTGTGATGGGACGACAGACACCCTACCGGCCATCTCGTCTGTGTCAGAGCAGGCTGCAAACCTACGACAGCACAATAATTCACCTCCCTACACTCCAGTTATAGAATCGGATGTAAACGGTAAACTTAGATGAGTGACGATGGGAGTTTACTGTCGACCTTTACTGACTGTGTGCAATGCTCCAGCCCTACCTCAGTGGAGACGTTTAAGATGCCTGAGAAGAGAATGCTTTCTGCCAACATCAACAGGCATGTGCGTAAAAGCAGGAACTACCCACAGATAATCGAATCAGGTTTTTTTTTTCTTGTTCTTCCCAGCCGCTCCATTCCCTGCTGATAAAAATGTTATCTACTGCACAGAGGAAGGGCTGGACCCCCAAACAGAGGGAAACCTCACAGCTTTCCACTTCCTTCCAGTTACACAGAGCTCTGCACTCATTTCAACCCAGCAGAGGATTTCACACTCCCTTTGAGCATAGTTTGAGCTGTAGTAGCATTTGCATAAAAACATTCCCTTTTTGGAAGCCGCAGAGCTGGGAGATAGAGACTCCTAGTGGACATTACAGAGAAGACTTCATGATAAACAGTACACATCCGTAAACCTACCACCAGAGGGCAGCGCCTTCCTGTTATACAGATATAATATGACCGATTTAATGGAAGTATTTAGGGTGAGAAAAACAATTGAACAAAGAAGTTTTAATGTCCACATACAGGTGATTTAAAGTCATGTACAGTTTATGGACGGAGGTGTTTTATGGCCGCACCACGGCCGTTTGCATTTTAATTTAATTGTTTTATGGCTTTTAATCAGAAGCAGAACTTTGTAAAGGCAGTTTTTTTTATGGAAATCGAATTATCTGTCTGAATGACGTACATGTCATGCAACATTAAACATGATGAAGCTGATCATCCATAAAAATGTACATAAATGTGGGGTTTTATTTATACAGTGTAATATTCACATAATATTTGGAGACAGACTGTACATGCAGACCAACGCGGAAGCACACATTCAAACATGCATTCACATTTACGAACATTCCAAAAAAAACACTCAGTCATTCAAAAATATTTTAAAAAGGTGTCTTTCAATGATGGAAGCTGCTTGGAACACCGCGGCCAAAGAGGACGTAGGCTGAAGATGAAGAGGACGAAGAGCACCAATGCTATGACAGTAACTATGGAGACGTAGCCAGCGTGGGGCAGAGGAGGGGTGTCTGGAGCTTCAGCTGGGATCAGGTTGGTCAGGGTTAACATGTAGCCCAGAGTCCAACCTGTGTCACTGCCCTTAATCTAGAAGCAGCAGAAAATAAATGGTGATAAAAAGTCACAAAACAACAACCTGCAGTACAACTTCTGGACAGAAAAATGAAAACGATATGGTACATTTTGAGATATGACGATTTCTAGAGTCATAAACCTGCATTTTTACATATTTTGGGGACTTTTAATTTTTTGCATTTTGTGGGGTACTTTACCGAACAGCTCGCTGAATGGTTACTTGTGCCGTCCATTCTCAGGAGTTGATTGGCTCTTTTGCCCCCTGTGTAAGGATTGTTCACTGAATGATGTGACGTCACAGCGCGCAACGTTGTATCGACACTGAAACAAAAATGAAATACCCAGTGTTATCAAGTCTTGACTAGTTAGTGGAAGGAATATAATAAAAAATACAAATATTTCTTATCATTTATTTTTGTCATGGTGCATCTTTGATTGAAGATCATTTGCACACATTTAATGCGATCAGTATTTGCAGCATAATTCAGTAGAAGAATTGCTGGAATTTTCCTTTAGCTGCAGTGTCACCTGGTGTGGTGCAGGACGCTTGTGATTGGATAATGAGGCGCACATGTGCCCTTTAAACCCGGAAGGAAGTGGTAATACGTTCCTACCTGGTGATGGTTGTAACATGGTGCTGTGTGAAGGTACGGAGGAAAAAAAAAAAAAAAAAAAAAAAGGGTTGTTCTTTTTATGGGGGGGGGGTTTTTCCTCCTCGGTATTAACGCGTCCTGTGAAGGACCAGTATTCCGCAGAGCGTGTAGATGGTTTGTTTTAAACCGTCTACACGCTGTTGAACCGCCGAGTGGGGCAGGAGGTTAGCGTGCTAAACAGTAGCCTGTTTGAGGCGCACGGTTTGGGCATTCAAACTATGTTCTGACTGCACGCATCGTTTCAGTCAGCGTCTTATTGAACGAGATAGCGTTTGTTATTTGGCCTCTAAACATGTACACGAAGACCGTTTGGTTTGAGTGGTCCAAACATTTTGTGTTGCAACTTTAGCCACGTGCATTAGTGAAGCAGCGGCTTGTTGTGTGGGAACGTTTCCATCAAAGTGGTACTAACGACGAGACCTCCATGAAGAAGACGGCACTTTATTGTCGACGGTACGAATTTACACACTTTTATTATTTAAGCGTGTGCGCTCGTGCACGTATGATATTGATGAAGTCAATCTTTTCAGGTGCAGCAGCATATCGCCATCACCTGGTCCGTTGGACTCCCCGACGTCAAGAAGTCCGAAGCATCTGGTTTGTGTTACGTGAACGACATTGTCCAAGTAAGAAAAACATGTCATGCTTTTTGTCAGCGGAAATGAAACTTTTGGACAGCATTTACAGAGTGCTGTGAAATGTTTACAGGACATCGGGGCTGGAAAGGGCAAATACTACGCAGTGAATGACCCACTCAGAGATGGTATCAACGATAAGTCGTTACGAAGCCGCCTTTAAACCGGTAGGTGTGTGAGTGCGATTTAGTTTTATTTTTCCCTAACTTCTCTGTGGACACGTTTTTAAAATGTGCGTCTTGGTTTGAGATCTTGGCTAAATAATGGAGATGTCCCAGCCGAGCGCAGTGGTCCTTCAGTGAGGAGCCGATTGAACGTCACCATTAAAGGTGTGAAAAGTAATGGATTTAACGTCTTTCACAGGTATTGACAAAGGAGTGACACCAACTGGACAAATTCAGTACAAACACGATTGATCGAAACAGTCTTAGAAGTGATTTGATTGCATTGTGTATGCAGTTTCAGTAAATGGTCATGCTAAAGAGTTTTAGCATTTTGTTGAACCTGCAACCTTATTGTTGAGAAATATCCACATGTTCCCCATCAGGTGGAGTTTCTTAGTGCACTTCAATGCTTTTGTTATTGAGCGTTTAACATGATGTTGTGTACTGTTCTGTTCATTGTGAAAGTGTTCTGGTTGGTTTTTTTAACTTAGTTTGAACTTAGTTTTTACATAACAAACTAAACTTAAAAAACACTTAAGTTAAACTAAAAAAAAACCTAAAAAAAAAAAAATTTGTTTTTGGCTTTCTATACCATACCCTTGACTTTGACAATGCACGGCCTATAGGACAATGAGAAATCCCATTCATATTTCCTGCTTTTTGCAAAATTTCTGGAAATAAATGCAGCACCAACACAATATTCCAACTTTTTTTTTTTTTTTATTCTGGAAGATTTACAACAATCAAATACAGAAAATGAAAGTACAATGAATAAAAAAAACTAAGAATTTAAGTATCTAACAATGAAAATACAATAGCAAAGTATTAGTAAGTGTAAAAAAATTCTCTAAAAGTGACTGAGCATTAAGTATCTAACACTGAAAGCACAAAGGCTAAAAGAAAAGTGTTGCAAAAAAGTGAGTGTTAAGGATCTGCCATTGAAAGTGCAAGGGCCAAAAAGTGACCCTGTTGCCAAAAGGTTTCAGTAAAATACTCACAAGTCCAGCAAACAAGTGATCTGCTTCAAATAAAGTGGCTCCTTCACAAGTTGTCTCCATACAATTAATGCATACAATTAATGACAACAATAAGCTGGAATAACAATCAAAATCATTTAATCCAAATATAGTTACATCAAGGGCAACTGGACAAAGTAGGTGTTTTTTTTTTGAAGACGAAACACCTCTCATCCAAGAGACTTCATCAGTTCTGCTGAACTGAAGAAGCCTTGGATGAGAGGTCTTCAAAAAAACACCTACTTTGTCCAGTTGCCCTCGATGTAACTCTTTTTGTAACAATCAAAAGCTGTGTTGGTCTCATTTACCTCTTGCCGTCAGGGTGGAAAGCCACACAGTTCACCTCTTGGAAGAACCTGCAGAACACGTCACTGTGCCACATGTTAACACAAACAAACGGTTTTCTTAAATGCAGCTACACAGTAGTCACTTCCACAGCACCACCATTATTACAATTACAGTGGAAAGTCTGTTGCGCAACTAAATGTTTACACACCACTATCAACAACAATACAAACACAATGCCTTAAACATATTTCATCACTACATAAAGGCCTTTGTTTGTAACAAAGTTGTGGCTTCTTCAGTGCTAACGCTAACACCACTATGGAATAAAGAACATCTGTACATTTTCTTCATCTGTTTCTTTTGTTTAGATGAAGACAACAGTCACTGGATGCTTTATTCAACCACACAATAATACTCTGGAAACACCACTTTAACTCACCTGGCCTTAAACTTGCCAATCCTGGGGGAAGTTGAGGTCATTGTTGATCTACGAGGATACGCATTGCACAGCGACAAATTCGTCTAATGTGATCCAGAGAGGCAGAGTCAAAGAGCTGTGGAGATAACACATGGCACTCAGTCATTTGCAAACTACATACAGCGGTGATCATCCCAACTATTCCATCCATAGCACAAACCTAATTCCAAATTCTCTACCCCAACCCTTATCCCATCAACTCTATCCCTGTCCTGAACCCTAACACACACAAAGGGATGAGAACTGTACTTCACTGTCTGTCTAGGCCAACAACAGATCAACATCTAATCTGGCTTCTAAATAAGACACTCGTTTGCAGATCCACCAAATGGATTTTATGAACAAAGTCACGTAGTCTTCATTAGACAAACTGGTGCAGGAAAATGAGACATGATTAATAAAATTAATATTTTATTTATAGATGACAGAATTTACGAATTTTATGAAAAAAGTAAATCAAATGGTGGATTCACTGTTTTCTACTGTTGACAAACTGAATTCTAAGTTAAGTTGAAATTGTCCAGATGTTCCTGATCGACTGGGGTTTTTGGCAGCTTGGAAACATTAGTCATAAGTCTTAATGAAACCAACGTCAGCGTTTGACACAGAGATATGGAACTACATACTAGGAGACACGTTGTGTCAGCTGAGTGACTAAAATTGACATTTTGTGACTTTCTTGGAAAAATGCAAAAGACCACAAAGTAATCCAAGAATACATGTCTATCCTCCAAGGTTTACCACCATGCCAGTAATCAGTATTCTTCTTTATTCCTGACACTCAGGGCTGGTTTTGTGACCAAATTAATTTGATTCAATTCACATGGTTCTGCTACCATTACTCACAATTCAATTAGAGTCAATCTGCTTCTAATGAATGGCTCTACTGTGTTACAAAACTAATAAAATACTAATTTATGTGTTTGTGCTACACACTTTTGCATCAACAGATTGCCTGAGCAAAACTGTTACCTGACACTAATTTTTACATTAGATGACAATAATTTCAGTAACTCTTTCATACCGGTGCCCAGAGTTCTTCATCTTCAGTCTTTGAACCATCTCCCAGTACCTTCCTGTGAACAAACAAAAACATATGGGCAGTGAGCAATGAAACTCTTACACAGAATATGAAATGTGATATCTACATCACAAAATGTCAGCACTGATGCTTATAAACTAGAATAATGGCACATTCTGGTGCAGTTCTATTTTAGTGACTCATCAAACCAGTACCTTAATGTTCAAAAGGTCAGCAGTATATTACCTGACCTTTACCAACTGACACTTAATACACAATCAGTTGTAGGGAGCATTTGTGCCACATTAGTTATAATCTTTTAACAAGCGCTGCACCCAAATTTCCGGTTAATGTAAATACCGTCTCTTGCTACGCATGCGCAAACTATCGAGAGGAAATTTAAAGGCCCCGTAGTGAAGATTATACTCAATTCAAAATAATTTGTAAATATGTGAGAAAAAAAGGTAATTGACGACGTTACCATTGTTTGCTTGAAGAACGAGAGCGCACATTTCCGGTATAATTTAAAAGCTGTTGCTGCGCATGCGCAACCCAGGGAGAGGAAATGACGTAAATTTAATTAATGTAAGCGGTGT